TCCTTAGAAACAATTAAATGTTATTTACATAAAATAATTTATCAATTAAAACAATTTTCAAAATATTTACAATTATTTGATTACATTAAATAAATACTATTCAATAAAATATTAATTTGATAAATTTAATAAAACTTAAAATAAACTTGAATTGATAAAATTAATAAAATAATAATAACTTGATAAAAATAAAAAATTTATTTAAAAATTTATTATTAATAATTAAAATTATTTCCTCTTCTACATTTTTCACTTCCTTTTTGAATAAAATCTTGTAAAATATCATCGAATGGATAATTTAAATCAATTAAATTAAAAGTATTTAAAATAATATTACCAATTGGAGTATTTGAAATTGATAATTTAACAATATGATTATTATTTCTACTTATTAGTAAATTAATTTCAGTTTTAAATTCTCTTTCAAATAATTGTAATGTATTAATTGTCCATTCTTCACAATGTATTCCATTTATATTTTTAAATCCATTAAATTTAATTGAATAAATTTCATTTTTAATTTCTTTTAATTTTAATTCTAATGGAATTTGTAATAAATGTAATTGACTTGATAAAATTGAACATTTATCATTGGTTATTAAATATACTGATAAAAATTTTGTAAAATAATTTGGTAATATTATAAATTCAAATATTTTTGTAGAATTTTCATTTTCTATATTTGCATATAATTTCCTTTTTAGGTAATCCATTATTAAATAACCTTCAAATTTATGTACATTTCCATTTTGATCATTTTCAATTTTAATTTTTGTAAAAAATGATGATTTTACAATAGGTTCAATAGTTGTATTTAAATTTTGTTTAATTTCCTTTTCACATTGATTTCCATTTATAGAAAAATCAATTGGTGCTAATCCTAAAGAACCAATTGCTAATAATTTTAATGATTTTTTATCAATTAAACCAATTGATCTTCCTAATATATCTGAAAATAATAAATTATTTAATTTATATTTAAAAATATTTTTAAAAATATTAATTTTATAAATTATTTTACCTAAATTAGAAATATCACCACCATTAAAAAATACTAATTGATATTCATTATTTTCAAATTCATTTAAATTACAAATTTTAATTTCTAAATTATTTTCTTTAATATGAACAAATATTTCAATTGGTTGATAAATTAAATTATTACCTTCCATTTTTGAAATTAATGAATATTTTAAATTATTATTTATATTATTTATATTATTTAAATTATTTAAATTTAAATTATAATCTAAAATAGAAATTAAACATTGACCAATTCTATTTTTACCATTATCTTTATAATCATGTATAATTAAAGATCTACCAATTAAATCAATTAAATTTAATTTAGTATTATTATGTGAATATAAATGGAAATTAATTATATTATTAACTTTTAATTGATCTGAAATTGAATATAAATCAATTGTTGCACCTAAATCTTCATTTCCATTTTTAGAATTAAATAATAATTGTGAAGATAATAAATGTCCACC